CGTAGCCATGACTACAGGGAGCTGTTGATGAAGGCTGGACTTCGGTCTCTAGGTAATGGTTTCCACTTATCGAAAACAGTTCATGAGTCTTATTGTCTTGTTTTGAGAATAATGTAACTGAATTTTCAATACAATATTTCTTAAAAGAAACAAAAGAATATTTAATTGTCTGCAATTTCACAGTGTGTCAGTTTGATGTGGAAAGAAAGCCCAAAGTGATGCAGGTCTTAGACATTTACTACTTGGGTGAAAACCATGAGCACGGGTGCTGACAAGCCTAGAAGCCGAGATCTAAGATTCGAACCAATGGTCCTCGGTTCCTGGCATGCCCAAGGGGAAGCAACTGTGCACAGCGAATTGTGGAACCTTCGTACACTGGTTCACCAAAGCTCCCTGTAAATGACCTGGTCTCAGTCCAGGATGCCATCATAAGGCTGTATACGACTGTCATTGGTCTATGATGGGAGTCTGTCGAGGGCTGTGATATACTTGTGGAATGAGGCCGAGTGGTGTAGGGTGTCACAACTCACTGACCCGGAGACCCGTGAAGATCCCGGGTAGAACAGGTCTTCAGCCACCCATGCTAGCCATAAAAGGCGAGTATGTTTATCGTAAGAGGCGACTCACGGGATCAGGTGGTCAGGCTCCCTGCCTTGGTTGATGCAAGTCATTGTATCCCAATTGCATGGATCATGCTCATGATGTCAGTCACTGGATTGTCAGGCCCTGACTTGATTATTTAAAAGACCGCCGTCATATAGCTGGAATATTGCTGAGTGCGGCGTTAAACAACAAACAAACAAAACACTAATGGAGCAGGATCTGCTGGTCGTGGGTTTGCATCCCTGATTACGATCCTTGGCTAGACACACGTAGTCATGGGCTTTTTACAGTGGTACTTTTCTTTGACTGGCATATGAGTGAAATACTGTTCAGGGTGTATTTAGAACACATTCAATGTCACACTGTCATTAGATTAGTTTGGATTACCAACATTCTAACATATTTTTCTATTATCTGGGGGCACAGGTGACCCAGTCAACTAAGGCGCCGCGATTCGCTGTGCAGAGTTGTGTCCCTTGAGCACGCCATAAACCTAGGATTGTGGGTTCGAATCCTGGTTCACACCGATTATGTTCCTAGGTTTGTCAGCACCATACCTGTGCTCATGGATTTCACCAAAGTGGTGAACGTCTAAGACCTGCATCACTTCAGGCTTTCCTCCCACATTACGCTGACACGCTGTGACTGGAATACTGTAAAGCAGCATTCAGCCCAACTCACTCACTCACTCTTCTATTATCTTCCATGATGACAAACTAAGGCCACACACTGTGTGTTCTCATATGTATACTCACCGCCAATTACCGAAGAATTACTCATATTCATGAGATATTAGATTGGTTCGATGCATAAACGAACATACTGTTATGTTGTGTGAATGGATGCTCATGAACGCATCACATGTGATGTCATAGATCCCTGACTCTAGATGTAAAGTTTGGAAATCACATGCAGCATATTGTGATAAGAATAATGTAACTCAGCAGTAACCCTTGACTGATAGTTCTGTGGTACACATTGGAAACGTCTCTTCTTTACGTACATACTTCTCTATATGTTTCTTTTGGTGGTGAGTATATGTTTAGACAATAAAGAAGTTGATGGACTAATCACAGCATCTGTAGCTATTTCAAACAGGATTCCTTACCTTGCATGTCGAGTTGTCATTACGACCATACCCAGGTTGATTTCAGCTTAGGTAGACATCTTATTGTAATTGTGTTACTGTAATTCTGTTTGAAACCTTTTGCAGGCACAAGTGTCACAGGAGACATCCAAGATCTTGTTGCTACAGTGATAACTATCCTTGTCATCTTGGAGGTTCTCTGCCCAGAGTTATTCCCCCTGACAGATGACCGTCTGCTCAAAGATGGCGAAAGGGAATTGGGCAAGATTCTGTCCAGTAAAATCGAGTTGGCAACCATATCTCAGAAAATGGACGTGTCTGAGATATTTCTATCACTGAGTCAAGGAATCCAGTTTTGCAAAGCAATGGATAAAAAACACCCCCTCGTCTGTCAATCACTGGAACTGGCAGATGATTGGCTGACTGCGGCAGCGAAGATGTTGGGTGATTTGGGAGAACGTCAGAAGACGAAGACACTGGGAAGGATGTTCCATCTCCTGTTCCCAGAACTTGTAAACACCGTGGAGAAGATAGACAATAGTACAAAGACTATGGTGTGTTAGATTGGTGTTTGGGGATACACAGAACTCTGGATGTTTTGGTAATTTTGCTGTACTTTGTTTTGGTATATGCTGCATAATATATATTATTTCATTTTGTCATGCGTAACTCTGTTACACATGTTTTGTGTGTTGTTGATGAAGTACGGTATGGTCACAAGCATATATACTTTTTTTATGCATATCATTTACATCATCGTCAGCATTGTTGTCATGGAAACCCTTTTATTCCTTTGGAATATAATTCGATAAAAGCATTGTGCCTGTTTTGTTAACTATGTAATGTCATTAGTTATAACGTTAGTGCCTTGAATATAAGTTGTGTAGGGGAAAAAACAAATGGACATTCGGTTGAAAGAACGACTATACTGATGGACAATAATAAAGGAACATGGAAGTGTTGGAGAAGATATGATGCCACTGTGTTATGGCCTAGAAGGGATGTTATGTTGGACAGTAACAGTACAACCGCTGGCAGGCCAGGCATCCTCTGAGTTGGCCAATACTACAACTGGTGGGCAGTGTGCTGCTATTCTTTAGACACCAAACATACTGATATAAAAATAGATCAATCCAAATAGACTTAATACCGCAAACCTAAAGGAACCAGCCCTGTGACACAGAACTGTCCAGTAACCATAACAACAAGAGGCAGCTGGACTGACAACTGATTGCATGTTATATATAGACAAGTCGTCGTCTGCCAGATCACTAAAACCTGAAATGAGATTAAAATGATTAGTTTATGTACACAATATAAGATCACTGAATTCATCCCTGTTACAAGATGTTAGATGTTATTTGATCAGCAGCCATGTATTCACAAGTAAACCAGTTGCTATTCTGCTATATTTATTTGTCAGTGTCTGTGATCAGTGCAGAGGGGTCCCAGATTCTCGCTAATAAGGATCCCTGGCTTGACCACACCCAGTCTCATTAAAACTAGATCTCTGTGTGCTACCCCTACACATAGATCTGAGGATATCCCATTACAGGTCACTGCAGAACGACCTTTCGTGAACTCTGACCGAACAATGACATAGCTAGCAGGAAGTCGACATTAACCAATGAGAAAGCTTCTTGAGCTTAAACTAGTGACTTCCATTCCAGGCAACCCTTTAAAAAAATATTGATTACAAGTTTGAAAACCGAATAGAGGAAAATTCTTGAAGCTCTAGTAGATTGGTAATATTGAATGGCAGTACTTCTCATGGGCTATGGGGGAGGTCCTGTAGCCTAGTGGCTAAAGCGTTCGTTCATCACGCTGAGACCCAGATTCCCGACATGGGTACAATGTGTGAAGCACATTTCTGGTGTCCCCCGCCGTCATATTGCTTGAATATTGCTGAAAGCGGCGTAAAACCAAACTCACTAACTCTCATGGGCTATGGAATGTCTCTTCCGTTTCAAAATATATCTCATTGAGGTGAGCGTTAGGCGATGAAATTGACAAAATCAGTCGTACAGCCAGTTACTGTGGTACAGAACACGCCATGTTAACCTTTTTGAGGATGCATGATTTGAAAACACATTCCGACTTTCACTTTCCTCATCTAGTGAGTGACTCTCTGATTGGTTGGAGGAAAGGTCATTCTTCCGTAATAGGAAGTCCTCAGACAATTGTGGAGTGGTAGTTGGAACAAGGATCTGATTGTAACGAGATTGACGATGTGAGTGAGTGAGTGAGTGAGTGAGTGTGTCTTGGCATTTCTGTTTTAAGATATGATATGATGTGATTGAGACATATTTATATTGTATGGTATATACATATATATATTATGTTGTAAAGTGGTCCACTGTTTGTTTGTTTCTTCATGTATGTCAGAGTTAAATAATTGTACTTTGATGAAATTAAAGGTTGAAGATCAAATTTACAATGTTAGTTTGTTTCCTTTTCATTTTGTTTGTTTTGTTCCCCAAATGGAACAAAACAATAGCATTGCAACATGTGAGGCATTTAATCAAGGAGCAATCCCAAGCAGAGGTGACTAAACAACACTCAACCTATCTTTTCATATCACTCAGATGATGCTGAGCAAATGCTGTCAGGAACCAGGAACTTTGGTGAAACAATCACAAGGCTGACAACAATAAAACACTTGGTTCTCGATCAATGACTTTTGAACATATAATGCGGGCAGGCGGATGGGTGGGTGTTTTTTTTGTTTGTTGTTGCTTGTTCTAACTAGCAGGGGGGGCACGGGTGGCCCAGTCGTCTAAGGCGCCGCGATTCGCTGTGCAGAGTTGCGTCCCTGGCCACGCCAGAAACCTATGATTGTGGGTTCGAATCCCGTGGGTTTCACCAAAGTGGTAAACGTCTGAGACCTGCATCACTTCTGGCTTTCCTCCCACATTAAGCTGACACGCCACGATATAACTGGAATACTGTTAAAAGCGGCGTTAAACCCAACTCACTCACTCACTCACTCTAACTAGCATGAAACCAAATAAACAGTTGTGTACCATCAACCTGGGAAAGGGCCTCCCTACATAAACAAGGATACAAACTCCTATTGGCATCATGACCATAACACGAGATACGCATGGAAAGGGAAGTAACAGTGTGCAATATTGTATTGTATTGTTTTTCAGTGTTAGGATACTAATCTTTTAATTATTTTTTTGTTGGAAATGGAAATAGAAATGAATCTTGTGGCAGACTTTATGATGATGCGGGCGGTGCCTGAGAACCAAGACTATTGTTGCTTTAGCCTAAGGCTGACTGTGTGTCAAGGAAACTGTTTTCCACCATGGTTCTGCAAGTTTACCTATCAACTTTGGATGCAAGGGTTCCGTTCACAACCAAGGTGGGGCAGTCAGGTAGCCTAGTGGTTGAAGCATTAGGTCATCATGCCTAAAAACCCTGGTTCGATTCCCGACACGGGTACAATGTGTGGAACCCATTTCTGGTGTCCCCCCCCCCCCATGGTATTCCTGGAATATTGCTAAAAGTGGCATAAAATCAAACTCAAACTCTGCTAGGGCTGGTACGAGTCCAGATTTACTACCCGGGTACCCACCCCTCCACTCCCCGACCCTACCCGGATACCTCTCTAGAGGAAGGTACAAACTGTCCAACTGAGAAAAGTTTGACCGTAGCCCTGGCAAAATATGTTTAGATACACCTATTAAACGATCTGGTGCATACACTGATGTTGACTAAAGTTTTTTTTATTCAAACATATAAAAGTCAGAAGGAATAGGCGTAGTAGTCAGAAAGAACTGCGAACAGCAACTAGCTAGTGTCCGCGTCTCTTCCTGTAGTGGAGGTTATAATGGACATTGTATGGCGTTCTCCCAGCTCTACCTACACCCTACTGTAAGCAGCAGCTAGCTGGTGTCCCAGTCTCTTCCTGTAGTGGAGGTTATAATGGACATTGTATGGCGTTCATGTCCTACTTGCCAATGTCTGGTATGACATTGTCATAATCACCGACACATTGCAGTTTTAATAGAGGTCAAAGGTTAAGCACTTCTTGACACAAGGGAGCATGTCACAAACGTCATGCCACTGCACCATTCACGTTGTTCAGGAACTACCGGGTACACCTGACGGCTGTAGAACTACCGGGTACACCTGACGGCTGTAGAACTACCGGGTACCCCTGATGGCTGTAGAACTACCCGGTACACCTGATGGCTGTAGAACTACCGGGTACACCTGATGGCTGTAGAACTACCGGGTACACCTGATGGCTGTAGAACTACCGGGTACCCCTGATGGCTGTGGAACTACCGGGTACACCTGATGGCTGTAGAACTACCCGGTACACCTGACGGCTGTAGAACTACCGGGTACACCTGACAGCTGTAGAACTACCGGGTACCCCTTGATGGCTGTAGATGTTTATGCAGAAGATAGTTCATTATCAATCTCGACAAAATCAACATGTGAGGCAATTCCCAAGCAGAGGTGACTAAACAACACTCAACCTATTTTTTCAAACCGCTAAGATGATGCCAAGCAAATGCTGTCAGGAACCAGTCTATTAGTTAATGATTACACGATCCGTAGAGTCTCCGCTGTCTGTGCAGAGATAATGTAATGTGTGGTTGTGTTTGTTGACAGTTTACATGTCCAGGTGAGCTGCAGTTTCATGTGATTATTAATTAACAGCTGCATACAGCAACAGACTAATAGTTTAATGATCTCATTTAAATGTTGATTCAAGATTGTGCTGTGGTATTTTTTAGAGATCCTGATGCCTGCTTCATCAGATGAGGCAAGATCACCTGGCTACAGCCTGTATGAATCATCAGCCAGGTACTCACCGACAGCACCAGGCTACTCACCGACAGCACCACGCTACTCACCGACATCCCCTAGCTACTCACCGACAGCACCAAGCTACTCACCAACATCCCCTAGCTACTCACCGACAGCACCAGGCTACTCACCGACAGCACCAAGCTACTCGCCGACAGCACCAAGCTACTCACCGACAGCACCAGGCTACTCGCCGACAGCACCAAGCTACTCACCGACATCCCCTAGCTACTCACCAAGACCAAAAGGGTAATTCACCATGCTGTTCACTGACACCCATCAACCATTCACTGAGACTCACCCACCCCTCGCTGACACCCACCCATCACTGACACCAACCCATCCCTCACTGACACCCACCCTCCTCTCACTGCCACCCACCCCTCACTGACACCCGACCACCCCTCGCTGACACCCACCCCTCACTGACACCCATCCCTCACTGACACCCGACCACCCCTCACTGCCACCCACCCCTCACTGACACCGACCCGTCACTGACACCAACCCATCCCTCACTGACACCCACCCTCCTCTCACTGACACCCACCCCTCACTGACACACACCCCTCACTGACACCAACCCTCCCCTCGCTGCCACCCACCCCTCACTGACACCCACCCACCCCTCTCTGCCACCCACCCCTCACTGACACCAACCCTCCGCTCGCTGCCACCCACCCCTCACAGACACCCACCCCTCACTGACACCAACCCTCCCCTCGCTGCCACCCACCCCTCACTGACACCCACCCCTCACTGACACCCACCCACCCCTCACTGACACCCACCCATCCCTCACTGACACCAACCAATCCCTCACTGACACCCACCCTCCTCTCATTGACACCCTCCTCTCATTGACACCCACCCCTCACTGTAGCTCACACCTTACTGACACCCACCCACCTCTCACTGACACCCACCCATCCCTCACTGACACCAAGCAATCCCTCACTGACACCCACCAATCCCTCACTGACACCCACCCTCCTCTCATTGACACCCCCCCACCCCTCACTGTATCTCACAAATCACTGACACCCACCCACCCCTCACTGACACCCACCCATCCCACACTGACACCCACCCCTCACACCCATCCCTCATTGACACCCACCCACCCCTCACTGACACCCACCCACCCCTTACCGACATCACCCACCCCTCACAGACACCCACCCACCCCTCACTGACACCCACCGACCCCTTACTGACATCACCCACCCCTCACTGACACCCACCCACCCCTCACTGTAGCTCACACCTTACTGACACCCACCCACCTCTCACTGACACACACCCACCTCTCACTGACACCCACCCATCCCTCACTGACACCCACCAATCCCTCACTGACACCCACCCTCCTCTCATTGACACCCCCCCACCCCACACTGACACCCATCCACCCCTCACTGACACCTACCCATCCCACACTGACACCCACCCCTCACACCCACCCCTCACTGACATCCACCCATCCCACACTGACACCCACCCATCACACCCACCCCTCATTGACACCCACCCCTCACAGACACCCACCCACCCCTCACTGACATCACCAACCCGTCGCTGCCACCCACCCCTCACTGCCACCCACCCAACCCTCACTGTAGCTCACACCTCACTGACACCCACCCACCTCTCACTGACACCCACCCACCCCTTACGGACATCACCCACCCCTCACTGACACCCACCCACCCCTCACTGACACCTACCCACCCCTCACTGTAGCTCACACCTTACTGACACCCACCCACCCCTCACTGACACCTACCCACCCCTCACTGTAGCTCACACCAAAACCAAAAGGGTAATTCCCCATGCTGTTCACTGACACCTATCCACCCTTCACTGAGACTCACCCACCCCTCGCTGACACCCACCCGTCACTGACACCAACCCATCCCTCACTGACACCCACCCTCCTCTCACTGCCACCCACCCCTCACTGACACCCGACCACCCCTCGCTGCCACCCACCCCTCACTGACACCCACCCCTCACTGACACCCGACCACCCCTCACTGCCACCCACCCCTCACTGCCACCCACCCGTCACTGCCACCCACCCCTCACTGACACCCACCCGTCACTGACACCAACCCATCCCTCACTGACACCCACCCTCCTCTCACTGACACCCACCCCTCACTGACACACACCCCTCACTGACACCCACCCACCCCTCGCTGCCACCCACCCCTCACTGACACCAACCCTCCCCTCGCTGCCACCCACCCCTCACAGACACCCACCCCTCACTGACACCAACCCTCCCCTCGCTGCCACCCACCCCTCACTGACACCCACCCCTCACTGACACCCACCCACCCCTCACTGACACCCCCCCATCCCTCACTGACACCAACCAATCCCTCACTGACACCCACCCTCCTCTCATTGACACCCCCCCACCCCTCACTGACACCCACCCACCCCTCACTGACACCCACCCCTCACTGTAGCTCACACCTTACTGACACCCACCCACCTCTCACTGACACCCACCCATCCCTCACTGACACCAAGCAATCCCTCACTGACACCCACCAATCCCTCACTGACACCCACCCTCCTCTCAATGACACCCCCCCACCCCTCACTGTATCTCACAAATCACTGACACCCACCCACCCCTCACTGACACCCACCCATCCCACACTGACACCCACCCCTCACACCCATCCCTCATTGACACCCACCCACCCCTCACTGACACCCACCCACCCCTTACCGACATCACCCACCCCTCACAGACACCCACCCACCCCTCACTGACACCCACCGACCCCTTACTGACATCACCCACCCCTCACTGACACCCGCCCACCCCTCACTGACACCCACCCACCCCTCACTGTAGCTCACACCTTACTGACACCCATCCACCTCTCACTGACACCCACCCACCTCTCACTGACACCCACCCATCCCTCACTGACACCCACCAATCCCTCACTGACACCCACCCTCCTCTCATTGACACCCCCCCACCCCACACTGACACCCACCCACCCCTCACTGACACCTACCCATCCCACACTGACACCCACCCCTCACACCCACCCCTCACTGACACCTACCCGTCCCACACTGACACCCACCCCTCACACCCATCCCTCATTGACACCCACCCCTCACAGACACCCACCCACCCCTCACTGACATCACCAACCCGTCGCTGCCACCCACCCCTCACAGACACCCACCCACCCCTCACTGACACCCACCCAACCCTCACTGTAGCTCACACCTCACTGACACCCACCCACCTCTCACTGACACCCACCCATCCCTTACCGACATCACCCACCCCTCACTGACACCCACCCACCCCTCACTGACACCTACCCACCCTCACTGTAGCTCACACCTTACTGACACCCACCCACCCCTCACAGACACCCACCCACCCCTCACTGACATCACCAACCCGTCGCTGCCACCCACCCCTCACAGACACCCACCCACCCCTCACTGACACCCACCCAACCCTCACTGACACCCACCAATCCCTCACTGACACCCACCCTCCTCTCATTGACACCCCCCCACCCCACACTGACACCCACCCACCCCTCACTGACACCTACCCATCCCACACTGACACCCACCCCTCACACCCACCCCTCACTGACACCCACCCATCCCACACTGACACCCACCCCTCACACCCACCCCTCACTGACACCCACCCACCCCTCACAGACACCCACCCACCCCTCACTGACATCACCAACCCGTCGCTGCCACCCACCCCTCACAGACACCCACCCACCCCTCACTGACACCCACCCAACCCTCACTGTAGCTCACACCTCACTGACACCCACCCACCTCTCACTGACACCCACCCATCCCTCACTGACACCCACCAATCCCTCACTGACACCCACCCTCCTCTCATTGACACCCCCCCCACCCCACACTGACACCCACCCACCCCTCACTGACACCTACCCATCCCACACTGACACCCACCCCTCACACCCACCCCTCACTGACACCCACCCGTCCCACACTGACACCCACCCCTCACACCCATCCCTCATTGACACCCACCCCTCACAGACACCCACCCACCCCTCACTGACATCACCAACCCGTCGCTGCCACCCACCCCTCACAGACACCCACCCACCCCTCACTGACACCCACCCAACCCTCAATGTAGCTCACACCTCACTGACACCCACCCACCTCTCACTGACACCCACCCATCCCTTACCGACATCACCCACCCCTCACTGACACCCACCCACCCCTCACTGACACCCACCCACCTCTCACTGACACCCACCCATCCCTTACCGACATCACCCACCCCTCACTGACACCCACCCACCCCTCACTGACACCTACCCACCCTCACTGTAGCTCACACCTTACTGACACCCACCCACCCCTCACTGACACCTACCCACACCTCACTGTAGCTCACACCTTACTGACACCCACCCACCTCTCACTGACACCCACCCACCTCTCACTGACACCCACCCACCCCTCACTGACACCCACCAATCCCTCACTGACACCCGCCCTCCTCTCATTGACACCCCCCCCACCCCACACTGACACCCACCCACCCCTCACTGACACCTACCCATCCCACACTGACACCCACCCCTCACACCCACCCCTCACTGACACCCACCCATCCCACACTGACACCCACCCCTCACACCCACCCCTCATTGACACCCACCCCTCACAGACACCCACCCACCCCTCACTGACATCACCAACCCGTCGCTGCCTGCCACCCCTCACAGACACCCACCCACCCCTCACTGACACCCACCCAACCCTCACTGACACCCACCAATCCCTCACTGACACCCACCCTCCTCTCATTGACACCCCCCCACCCCACACTGACACCCACCCACCCCTCACTGACACCTACCCATCCCACACTGACACCCACCCCTCACACCCACCCCTCACTGACACCCACCCATCCCACACTGACACCCACCCCTCACACCCACCCCTCACTGACACCCACCCACCCCTCACAGACACCCACCCACCTCTCACTGACATCACCAACCCGTCGCTGCCACCCACCCCTCACAGACACCCACCCACCCCTCACTGACACCCACCCAACCCTCACTGTAGCTCACACCTCACTGACACCCACCCACCTCTCACTGACACCCACCCATCCCTCACTGACACCCACCCATCCCTCACTGACACCCACCCTCCTCTCATTGACACCCCCCCACCCCT